GGGGGCGGGGTGTCGGCAGGTAGCTCCCGCTGCCGAGGCCCCGCGCCTGGCGCGTGTAACTATATATAATCCACGGGGCGGGGGAGGCTGCCTCGGCGGCTCCAAGTGTTAATTTATGAGGGGAAGACAGCCAGCTCCCCGGGGTGCCGGGGGAGGGTGTGCTCCGAGGAGGCAGAGCGAGGGGCAGTGGGTCCTTGCAGGGGGCAGCCGCTGCAGGGGATTTGGGGCTTTGCCCCTTGAGGCTTCGTCACGGGAGGTGGTTCTCCGGTTCTCCCCATTTCATAGATGAGGAGCTTGAGACTCGGGGGTGGGACTCTCCCAAGGTCACGCAGCGGAGGCACTTTCACTGCAGGCACGTCTGCCTCCCGGTGGCCTAGGCTGGAAGCAGTTTTGGCCTTCCTCCCTTGTTCTTGTCTTCACAACACCCAGAGGCTGGCCCAGGGAGGCTCTTGGCTGGGGCTCTCCTGCGGAAGGTGGAGCTCCCACTTCCCAAGGGTGGGACGGCCTGTAGGTGCCTCTGTGGCTTCCCACCAGTCTAGTGTGGGCCAGGATGTGGACAAAGCCCCTTCCTCAGCTAAGGGGCCATAGGGTGATGGGCAGGGGCCACCCCGGGGAGCCCTGCCTGGGACTGCTCCCGCCAACTACGGAGGGCAGCCTGCCCACATGCTGCTGCTGCACTCAGCACACTTAGAGATGCTATGATGCTGGGTTATAAAGGAGTATGTCCTTGTGGTGGGGAGTTCGGTGATAGGGAAGAGTGGTGAGAAGCAGCTCTGACGTTCTTTGCTCTTCTGGAGAAAACAGTCTGGCGTGGTCTCTTCTCTGTGCATGCCCCTGACTGGCTTATTCACCAGGGGGCTGGTGCAGCGTGCGGCCCTGCCCTGCCCTCCGGTCACCTGCGCCGCCTCTCCCTGCAGCGCTCTGCTTTGCCCTGACCCGCTCGCTGCTGCTGACCTGCCTGGTGCCAGCAGGGCTGCTGGGCCTGCGCTATTACTACAGCCGGAAGGTGGTCCTCGCCTACCTGGACTGCGCGCTGCACACGGACATGGCTGACATCGAGCAGTACTACATGAAGCCCCCCGGTGAGTCCCCAGGGGTCCCTGACCTCCCCTCCCCACCACTGCCTGCCATCTTCTCAGCTCTTCCTTCTGGCAGAGCTGCCCCAACTCCAGGAACCTCAGGGCAGGCCTGGGCAGGACAGGACACCAGGCCCAGGTCAGCCTAGGCTGGGGCACCCCCATGACCTGAGCCTTCTGGGTAGCAGGGCTCTGGCCAAGGGTTGGGGGGTGTGGCAGGCTGGCAGGGGCTGGGATTGGCAGAACTAGGTCCTTGGGGCTGAACCTCTTCCCCGGGTGTCCCCGTGTCCTCTGAGGACAGGGCTCTGAGCAGCCTGAGCTGGCTTGGGCCGTGCTGTCCTGGCCCGCTCTTCATGCTGTAGTTGCTGCCGCCCTGGAGCTTAGTGGGTGGGAGGAGCCTCACCCCTCTGGGTCCTGTTGCTTGGTGTGCCTTGTTGGATGTTGGGATGGCCTGGGATGGCAGGGCCCTGTGTGGCAGGGGCAGAGGACCACATGGTGGGGAGAGGATCCAGGGAAAGGCAGAGGTCACTCTGGCGGGGGGATGAGGACCCTAGGAGAACAGGACTCAAGTCTTGGTCTCCACTTCTGGTCTTTGGCCACTTAGCCCAGGGTCTCGCCCCAGCTTCCTGGCTCTCTGAAGAGGGAGGGGCTGGGACCTGGTCTGGACCCATTCTCTCCTCATGCAGAGGGAGGGGCTGGCTCTGAGGCAGGGTGGGTCCTGGGAGGCAGGGTCACATGCTTTTTTCATGCCTGGAGTGGGGCACGAGGGTCTCCTAGGTGCTGGAAGGTCTCTGGGCTCAGAAGAGGGGACAGGGTGGGCCTGAACTAGCAGGTAAGTGCCAGGAGGGGACGAGAGACGCAAGGCATCGCAGATCAAGGGTGACCCTGCCTGCCATGGCCAGCTCCTGTGCTGTGGTGGCTGGTTCTTCCCTGGCCCCAAAGCTGCCTGGCTGGACTTGGGCACCTCTGGTTCCCCTGGAACCTTTCTCAAGCCCAAATGAAGCATCTTATCAGCCTCCGTGGAGCTCGAGCTTCAACCTGGCTCTGCCCAGGGTGGGAGGGGCCAGAAGGGGAGACCCACCTGGCATCGAAGCCCAGCCCAGTCTGCAGGAGCAGAAGTGGGGCTCAGGTTGGGGCCTGGCGTGGCCCTACCCTCTCCTGGCTGCAGTCTCCTTGGGTGACATTTGGTGGGCCTACAGGAAGGTCCTGCAGGGGCAGAGAAGCTGAGCTTACGGAAGTGTCCATGCAGTGGGGAAACTGAGGCCTGGGAGGCATGAGGCTCCCAAGACTGTCCTGATCTCTGGCCTGGCCTAGGTGGGTAGGGAGAGCCAGAACTCCTGGGTAGCGGGCAGGTCAGCTAGTGGAGGGGGAGGTCAGTGGCAGGGGGCCCTCAGCCATTCCTGAGTCCCGGCCTCATGTCCAGTCTCTGGCTCAGGGTTTGGCAGTGAAGGAGACAGGAGATTCCCTTGCAGAGCTGACGGGCTGAGGGGGCATGTTGGCAGATAAGACAGTGGGGGACCCCCAGAGGTCAGGCGGAGGGGTGAAGAGTGTCTTCCAGACTAGGATTGGGTGCAGAAGCTTTAGAGGGAGGGTTTGGCTACTCAAGGAGTGATGCTGGGATGGGAGGGGCGGTGGAGGTAGTTGGCAGGGGGACAGGGCAGTGGAGACTGGAGTGGCCACAGGCAGGGCAAACGCAGGCCTGGCTCCTCTGTGCGGGCACTCACCCCAGCCTCGCCTCCTGTAGCCCCTAGGCCTTCGGTCACCAGAGGAGACAGCCTCTGTGCCCTGCAGGCCTCTCCCCTCTGCTCGCCTCTCCCCTCTGCTCTTCATCCCCTCTGCCCCTCTTGCTCTTCTCATTCCCCTGAGGCCTTCCCCCTCCTCCTGCCCTGCATGGGGCTGTGATTGGTCAGGGCCGGAGGTGGGAACGGCTGGCCTGACCACTGGGCTCCCTGCCCAGCCTCAGGCCCATTGTCAGGGTGGCTCCCAGGCTGCTGTGGGTGGCGGGCAGGTCAGGCCTGGCTCTCTGTGCCCAGAGGGCCCCGTAGGGGCAGCTGTGTCATGCAGCAGCACCAGTGGTCCTGACTGCACTGTCCCTTGCAGGCTCCTGCTTCTGGGTGGCTGTTCTGGACGGCAACGTGGTGGGCATTGTGGCAGCGCGGGCCCATGCGGCGGACAACACCGTGGAGCTGCTGCGCATGTCTGTGGACTCACGCTTCCGTGGCAAGGGCATTGCCAAGGCGCTGGGTCGGAAGGTGCTGGAGTTCGCCCTGGTGCACAACTACTCCGCGGTGGTGCTGGGCACGACGGCCGTCAAGGTGGCCGCCCACAAGCTCTATGAATCGCTGGGCTTCAGACACATGGGCTCGAGTGACCGCTACG